ATTCCTATTTTTTTTTATCCTTAAGGTTCTCATTAGATATTTTCTTGGCCTATCTCCCCATTTATAATTTTCACTTAACACTTTGTTATACACACTCCTTCTCTCCTCTTCCATCAGAGTTTCCAGTTCCTCTTTCTTTTTTGTTATCTTCTGTTTAATTTCTTTTAGCATTCTATTTTTGTGTAGCTGTTCTAGCTCCGATATATCCTTTAAGAACCTACTAATTTTTTCTCTTCTTTCTCTTTTCTTTCTTGCCCCAATTGCAATCAGAATTCCTCTTATATATGACTGTTGAGCCTCCCATACTGTTGCCTTAGACACATCCTCTGACTCATTCTCTTTAAAGAATCTCTCAATTTCCTTCCCAATCCTCTGTGCAATATCCTTGTCCATGAGAAGTGCTTCATTCAGCCTCCAACCTACCCCTTCTGTTCTCCTCTTTCCCCATCCCATCCTCAATACAACAGGGGCATGATCCGAAAGCGTCCTTACTCCTATATCTGCTTTAACCATTGAGTCTATAAAGTGATGTTCTATCAATACATAGTCCAACCTTGAATACATCTGATGTGCATTTGAGAAGAATGTGTAGTCTCTATCTTTCATATGCAAGATTCTCCATGCATCTACCAATTGGCATTCATGGATCACCTTCTTTAATAGTCTCAAAGATCTAGTCCCCTCTCGCTGCACATTAGAATTTGTATCAATTTGTGGATCCATACAAAAATTAAAATCTCCCGCCACTATTATACAACCCTCTTTAAAATCCATGAACTTTATTAACACACCCTTCAAGTACTCCTCTGGTTTTTTATTTGGACAGTATATATTAGCTACTGTGCACTCCACCCCTTGTATTTTACCCTTCAAAAACAAATATCTCCCCTCTGGGTCCACTTTTCTATCCTTCAGTTCAAATCTTATATTTTTTCTGAACCCTATTGCCACCCCTTTAGCTCTCTTAATCGGGGAATCTGCATAATACCATGTTGGGTAATCTCTAGACTTCCGCTTCACCCTTGATTCTATCTCAAGATGTGTCTCCTGCAAAAAAACCACCGAAACTGCTTGATGATGTAATTCCTTAAATAACCTAAATCTCTTCCCAGGGCAATTTAACCCCTTTACATTATAAGTGATGACTTGTAAATCTTCCATCCTTTTTAAATCTTTCTTTTTTCCCTTCTAACTAGAGATCACATAATTATCCTCCTTCTCTTTACCCTTGCTTTTAATACCTCTCTCTATCCTGCAGAGTATTACCCTTATTATCCATTTCCCTCCCACCCTCACCTCCCCCCAACCCCCACCCTCCCTAACACTCCCCCCCTGCCTGCTCCTCCCCTCCCTCCCTCCCGCCTCCCCACCCCCCCCAGGCCTCCCATGCCTTTAGATCATATTCCACTTTTGATCCCTCTATAGGGGTTCGACTCTGCCCATGACCGCTTACCTCCCCCCCCCTCCTCCCCAATGTCCCCTTATCTATTGATTCTCTATTTCCTCTTTTAACCAGCTGCCACTTTCCTGACCCACAAGTGTCCAACTCTCCCTCCTCCAGTTCCCAACCAGGTATCACTTGTCTCTGCAGTCCAAATTTGTCACAAAATTTTTCCATATCCTCCGGGAATCTTAAGGTAGCTGTAGTTCCATCCCTCCACCCAATTAAACTTAAGTCACGGCCCCATCTGTATTTCACACTTTGTTTTTTCATCTCTTCTAATAGGGGTTTCAGTGATCTCTTCCTTCTCAAAGTCACTGCTGTCAAATCTGCAAAAATTTGGATGTTTTTCCCTCCATATGTGATATTTGTTCTTCCTTTAATCTTTTTCCATATCTCTTCTCTATCTCCATAGTTATGAAATTTAACAATTATATCTCTTGGTTTTTCTGCCCCTTTTCCTTGTTGATACTTCCCAATCCTGTATACTTCATCCAGTTTAAACATCTCCTCATCCGATTTGTCCATTATGAAGTTCAAGATTTTACCAGATAGCTCTTTTAGATCTTCCCCCTGTGTCAGTTCCGGAACTCCTCTTACTCTGATATTATTTCTCCTTTCTCTATTTTCTTGTTCTTCCATCCTATAAAGCAATCTCTTATGTTCTTTTCTATCTTCAATTATCCATTTCTCTAATTTTGGGATGGTCTGAACTTGGGCTTGTACCTTCTCCTCCATTTTCTCCACCCTAGTTAACAATTGTCCCAGATCTTCCCGGATCATCCCCATCTCTTACTTTATTGAATTTTCCAAACCTTTAAACATCTCTGCCATTTCTTTTTTGTTAGGTATTTGCATATCTCTTTCCAACTCTCTCGGATCAATACCTTCCATTTGATTATTATATACTGGGCCCAGGGAAAGTCTCGGACTATTATCCAAACTTATTTCCAATTCACTTTTTTCACTTAATCCCTGGGTTCTTTCTGGGGTAACATTTCCTTGTGACACATACTTCTTAATTGTACCAGTTTGGGTGTTCTTAGTCCCGCTCCCTTTGATATTTTTACCTTTCATGTTGTTGTTGTAATTTTTACTCTTATTTCATGAAACTCCTGTTCTCTTACTCCTCCGATCTTCAGACCTATCCTAGGAATCCCCTAATTCTTTTATTTTCAGGTTGAGTATTTAAGGCACTGTCTTATTCTGGGCACCTAGGAATCTAGTGCAGGAATTCAATATATATAAAAGTCTAATATACGAATACGAATTTGTGCAGTTTGTAATCTATGGATTACAATAAATTCAGTTTATATTCCTCATCGTTTAGACTACAGTCAGACTGCTCACCCTTGTTTCCAGGTCCTTATCTGTTGGTTTGTTTCAGGCCAGTGACTCAAAGTGTTGGAGCCAGAGGATCAGCAAGACAACTAGGCAAATTGCATTTTCCGAGTCAGAGGACAGCAGGGACAGTCTTCATGTTTTTCCCATGACAGATTTAACTGAAAGCCCAGTCAAAGTCTCATACCTATGTTTCCTTTTTTCTTGCAAAATATATTTACTGGAAAGTATTTTTAACATTTTAACCAAAATTACAAATCAGTAGAGTGAGCTATATGGTACAAAAATAATAGTTACAAACGCATCAGGGTTTAAAAGTATAGGAAAAACTGTTTTCTCATCCCATATACGTAACGTATACAATCAAAGGTCTGTGTTTCCTTTTTAACTACGATACCCCCATGAGCTGTTATATGCTGTACACTGCTATTTGCTTTTCCACTCCCATGCTCTATGTTTACAACAGCCACATCCCCAATCACAAGTTTGTTCACATAGTCTTGTGGTTTTGGGGGTGAGTTGGGGCATGTCAGACCATGTTTGTTAGATTATGTAATTCACTGGACAACAGAGGCAAGCCCTGGTGCCCATTGGGCTGCACAGTCATGTTTACACATATTGCGCTACCCAGTGGTGTATTCACTTCTTGAGCTTCCCTAGGCAACACACGAATAGGGCACCCCCCACCAGAACCCATGTACACCCCTTCCCCCCCATTCCCAGCACCCTCTGCCGCCCACCACCACCCGCCTTGCCTCCAACAACCAATCACCCGCCATGGGTTGTGGAGTCAGCTCTGAGCATTGCCCAGAGTACTGCGGACTGCAGTAACACATCCAGTGGAAGTACAGCCTGCTGACACCTCCCCCTGGCTGCCGACAACCGATCACCCGCCATCGCCCCTCTGCCCCCCCATCACCAACATCCTCCATCACCGCCGCCCATCTCCACTGTCGCCTGATCACAAGAACTAACCTGCAGCCAGCCATCCATCCACACAGCCTCTTCACCAGTTCCCCATCCCTCTTGCCACAGCAAGAGGGACGCCCAAGCAAATGTCTTGTTTGCCCTGCAGTTCTGGCGCCACCACAGTAACAAAAAAGTGGACTATGAAAATTAAAGTTGTTAATGCAATATTGTTCTGTATTTCTGTGACTCCAGTTGGACTGTAAATCAATGCATAATTCTATGTCTCTATGACATACCTCCCAACTTTCTGAGATGGGAAACAGAAACACCTATTAGGAAAGAGTCTGTAGGCAAAAGACACTCCGCATGCCACATCCTATTACAGGGAGAATTACAAATTATTAAACCCACAAGTACTTTTTTTTCATTGCTAATATTTCTTCATACTGCAACAATATTACGTACTTTTTTTTTTTTTTTTTTTTTTTTTTTTTTTTTTTTTTTTTTTTTTTTTTTAAATGCAACAATTTAGATGAAAGGTTTAGCACTGTAAAACACATTTATAGTTAAAGTAGAACTCTAGGCAAACCTTGTTTGTTTTTTCATTTTGGATAGAGTAAGGGAGGGTTACAACCCCTGTAAGGTTTATTTTTGCTATCTTTGTCCCATTGGGCAGATTTACATTCACATCCTGTCTCATAGCCAAACAGGAAGTGAGAGGAAATCCCTGCCAATTAGGGAAATCTCATGGGGAACTAGTGCCTCCATTGGAAGATTTCCCCTCTATTACTTTTCTGGGAACAACCCAAAATTTGGGATTTTCTTTTACTGTTACTCTCAATGATAATGGTAAACAGAACAAATAGAGTGGGTAAATCTCCTTAACAGGGACACAAACAGCAATAAAAACTGACAGGGGTTCTAATCTATCTCCCTTCTATCCAAAGCGAAAAAAAAAAAGTCCTGCCTTTAGTTATGCTTTAAATAGAGGTCTGTACATCAGACAAAAATGAAGGACCAATGAGGAGGAAAGAGGAACAGAAGGACATTGTTCTAAAAGAGGGACAGTCCCTCCAAATCAGGGACAGTTGGGAGGTATGGTATGATGCAGAAAAACGTCATTGTGACTTACTTTTGCCTAATGTGCATATGGGCACTAATATTCAGTTAGGCAAAGTGAGCACACATAACAGCCAGTCAGTATCCATCTTTTACTGTTCAATAAATGGAAATCGCATTGCTTTGGCTTACATTTCAGTTTTGTTACATCATCTTACTGTGTAAGTTCATATGTGTTTTTTGTTCACAGAAGGTCGCACCTTTGATTGAACTCGGAGATGTACTTTCAAATACCCCAGTTCTGCCTACACCAGCTCCTAAAATCACTTCTGTCTCCATTTCGGTAATTCAAATTTATGATGTATTTTTTTAATTATCTGAGGGTAGGTTCACACTACATGTATAGAAAATGTTGCATTTTTCTCTGTGGATAGTGATCGCAGTCTCCATCAGAGGTTGAAAACACAGCAAACTTTATACTCCTATGCTTGGGGATGGACTCGGCTAGGGCTATGGTTACATCTCAGGTGTCCTGGAAAATGCACTCCTTGCTGCTCTCAATGGACCGGGGTAGTCCAATAGCACTGGATAGAAAGAAAACAAACAGAGGGAGCACCGGTCTAGTGCATTATCGTAAAAAATATTTATTGAAAGAATTAAAAAGTAGGTATCGTACTCACAATTGTCATAAAGGTCAAAGACACGTCACACTGAACAGTGGTGTCCAATCCTCACTGCAAATAAATCCACAATTGGAACCCTGGACTTCCAAGAGGCTAACGCGTTTCGAGAGCTTATCCTCTTCCTCAGAGTCAACCAAGGAAGAGGCTAAGCCCTCGAAACGCGTTAGTCTGTTGGAAGTCCAGGGTTCCAAATGTGGATTTATATGCAATGAGGATTGGACACCACTGTTCAGTGTGACGTGCCTTTGACCTTTATGTCAATTGTGACTACGATACCTACTTTCTGATCCTTTCAATAAATTTTTTTACGATAATGCGCTAGGCCGATGCGCCCTCTGTTTGTTTTCTTTGTATCCGTTAGAGGTTGGTGATGCCTTGCGTTTTAACATTTCAAGGCACTGTTTCCCTTTTTTTCTCTAAACTTTATTGGAACATCACAAAGTGACATTGCATTAATTTGTATGCACAGCCGTTTAACTGAGCTAAACAACCGCACATAAAAACACAGGATCACACAGAGAAAAAACACCCCCTTATCACAGGGTATATAACGTACTGGACCAATAACATACCGTGGATGAAGTAAATATAGTAAAATGAATTTAATATGAATAAAGAGCAACGTTACAGTCCATATAGGTGAATAGCAAAAAAAAAAACCTGTGACTCTTCTCCTTTCCTGTGCTTGTGTGATATCCACCATCACCAGGAATGCACGCTCACCTCACCAATGGACCCACATCACATAGGTCAAAACAGCAATAATCCTTGATGTATCCTGGTCACTGGGAGCTTCACATCATTGAAATCAGTACGGCAGGTACCATATATAAGTAAACAAGAAAGAGGTGCTCCTCATAGTGCAGTAAAGTTATTTTTGTTAAAATGTTTCACAGCATACTATATTGGTGTAATAGAGTGGAATCATCCTGTGTTGCAGATCATCAGTCCCTGCCTCAGCACCATTTTTGTAGTCAGTATGACTTTTTCATTTTTCAGGAAGTGAAGGCTCAGCCTCCAACAGAGCTTAAACTGGACTTCCCAAATGTACCTTCAAAAACACCAGATTGGTCACCAAAATCCCCTTTGGTAAGTACAGTATCTTAATTGTCATGCACCTCTATGAACTGTGATAAAAGTATATGACAAACCAGATACATGATAAGCCAGAGTAGATTGCCTTTTTATTTTATATCTGTTTTCTGTATTTTTTTTCAAGATAAATGTATATTAAAGTGCATTTGTGATATGGGAACTGCCATTGTTGACCTACTTCTAATAGTTCTAGTTAACTGGTGGTGTCTGGCTTCAATACTTTTTTGAGTCAGATACCCAGCAAAAGCATGGTCTTAGTGTCAGTGTCAAAATCCATTCTCTCTATACTTGTTTTAAGTCAGAGCCAATGCAGCAGGCTGATAACCAGGAAACCAGCATTGTGAAAAGTAGAGGTCAACAATGGCAGCTTCCATAATTCTCTTATGACATGTACACTTACCTGTTCTGCAGAGCTGCCTTTTCCAGGGTTGATCTTGTTACCTCCATGTCATTCTGAATTAGTGAGTGTTTTTTATTTTTTCCAGACTCCCACTTTTGAGAGGACTGTGAATGGATTCTTGGAGGCTAAACAGAAATTTCTGCCAGGTGGAAAGGTACAGTTATGAGCTTTAGTGACATGGTTGTGTGTGTTCTGTTTATTACGTAGGTGGAGGCAGTGTAAGTGTTCTCTGCCCCTTTCTTAGTACCTGTATTCTGGGAATACCATAGAGCAGGTAAACCACACAGGAACCCATAACAATTATTCTAACATTTGAGTTCAGTGGCTATTTTTCATTCATCCCCTTCTTACATGTTACCAGGGCAGAGTACATGATTGGGCGAGGAAGGGCTGGGCATTACTGGCTCTAGTATTTACTGAGAAATAGTTGGGACAGTTTGCCCTGGCTTCACACACCTGTCTTTTCAACAGCTTCTCAAAACAGTGCCAATGGTTTTTAAACTATACCTGGCCAGAATTCTTTGGACACTCCAAAAGTAGCCTACACAGAGCCCTGACCTCAACCTTATTGTAAAATGAAAGGTCTTGTATCCCTCCACCCCCTAAAAAAAAAAAAAAACATTCCAAAGTGGTTGTGGAAGAAGCACCCATCAGGATGTGATTGGAAATGATATATTCATAAAGCAGGTGTTTACTGATCATAGGTAATACATAACATGGTTTAGGTATTATCTATGATCAATAAACATCTACTGTATGAAGATACAATTGCCAATCACATCCTATACTGTCAGGCACCTCTGCTACCACCACTTCCCAGTTTTTGGGGGTAAAAGACCTTTCATTTTACTTGCTGGAGATCCACAGACCATTTAAGGTGAGACCACTTGGATCATCCTAACCATCTCTGTGTGAAGACAGTCATATTCTGCCAGCTTTTTAATCAGTTGATCAGACTATTTTACACTTGTTCAGCAGCCTACAGATGTAACTACACTATTAAATTTGTCTTTTGTTCATCATATATATATATATATATATATATATATATATATATATATATATATATATAATAATTTCCACACCATAAGGTATTCTCTTGTGGGTTTTTGTCTTTTTTCTTTTCTGGAGAGATGTGGGATTTTCAACCTTACTGAAATCCTTTAGTCTGAACTGGAAGACCAATGGTGAGCCTGGTCTTCTTGTCCAATTTCAGCACATAACAGCGCAAATGCCCTTTTGGCTGAATAAGCACAAATTCCCACAGACACACTTCGAAATCCTGTGAAACATCTTTGCAGGAGAGTGGAGGCTGTTAAAGATACAAAGGTGGGGGTTGAGGATACTCCATATGCATGCTCATGGTTTTGGAATGGGATGTGCAACACTGGTACTCTGAGGTTAATTTACTAAAACTGGAGAGAGCAAATCATCTTCTAACTTCAGCTTGTTCAATTAAGCTTTGACAATAAAACCTGGAAGTTGATTGGTTTCTATGCTGCACCAGATTTTTCACTCTCCAGTTTTAGTAAATTAACCCCTATATGGCCAAACGTTCTAGATTTTTCCCTCCCATCTATATCGCTATTCATTCTAAGGCTATACCCCACCCTAATACGAAAAATTTACAGTTTACTTGCGTACAATATTAATTGTAATTGCGTAGGTACTATATTACTATTTCTGTAACTGGAATACAGTTGACTGTACCTCTATGGTTTGTACCATGCCAACTACAATTGCATTATATTTTACTCGGGATGCTTTGTACTGGTTCTCACTAATTAACACACTAATTTGACTAAAAGTAAGTCGGGGTTGGGTTTTAAATTGTGTGGCATTATTTAATAAAATTAATTGGAACACGCTTTTATTTTTTGTAGACAAACCCAGTCACCTCCTGGAATTCTTACTACATTACACTACGTGACCAGACAATGAGCTTCTACTACGCCAAGAAGGATGAATCCAAGGTACCAGTCAGCATGGAGTCTGTGCTCCTATAACTAGCCCTAAACTGTTTCCAGGAAAGTAGATGCAATCACTTACTGAAGAACGTTCAATTTGTTAAAGCATTGTGTATCATGAGCAACTGCCATTTTTTTAATACAATGCTGTTTTTTACCTTTTTTTCATCCTTTGTTGCATCTCAATGCTGCTGCTATCTGGCAGCCTCTTTGCGGTCATTTCATTTATACATGCAATCCAGTGCTGGCTGAATGGCATTTCTCAGGCTGGTTTCCTGATGGTTACAACAATGGACCAAACCTGCATAATGTGTGTTGAAATGGCCACTTGTAGTCTCCATTGGAACCCCATGTGACAGAGTGACAATGCAGGAGGACAGTAAAGAGACATTACCATTGTTTTTACCTTGTAAGTGCCTGAACAAGGACCTTTGTGACAAGATTTTCTTTAAGGAAAGCTGCAGGTGTTAAATGACAGTGCCATGTTAAAGCTTGTATAAGGTTTTAGTAATAGGGTTTACATTAATTTTTATGGAGACTTTTAACTCTGTGGTACCTAAAGGATGTAACCTGCTCCACACAAATAATGTATATATCGCATCTCTTCCAGAATGAAACTGCAATTCCATCAGTTAGCATGGTTGATGCCATCTGTGAGAAAATAAAGGATTCACCAGACAAAGTGAACATGTTTACTGTCAGGTATTCTTCACATTTTGTATTTCAGAATGCCTTCTGTAGGTCCTGGTAAATGATTAGTCCACTAAAAAGTAATGAATTAATTATAGGTAGAGACTGGTGACATGAACCAGCTCCTGGCTTCTTATATACCGTATTTTTTGCTCCATAAGACGCACCTGACCATAAGACGCGCCTAGGTTTTAGAGGAGAAAAACAAGAAAAAAAATATTCTGAACCAATGGACTGCAGACATAGTACAGGAAGTGACCAGACACTGCGGACACAGTACAGGAGATGACCAGAGACTGCAGACATAGTACAGGAGAAGGACCAGAGACTGCGGACACAGTACAGGAGAAGGACCAGAGACTGCGGACACAGTACAGGAGAAGGACCAGAGACTGCGGACACAGTACAGGAGATGACCAGAGACTGCGGACACAGTACAGGAGATGCCTAGAGACTGCGGACAGTACAGGAGATGACCAGAGACTGCGGACACAGTACAGGAGAAGGACCAGAGACTGCGGACACAGTACAGGAGATGACCAGAGACTGCGGACAGTACAGGAGATGACTAGAGACTGCGGACACAGTACAGGAGATGACCAGAGACTGCGGACATAGTACAGGAGATGAACAGAGACTGTGGACACAGTACAGGAGATGACTAGAGACTGCGGACAGTACAGGGGATGACCAGAGACTGCGGACAGTACAGGGGATGACCAGAGACTGCAGACACAGTACAGGAGATGACCAGAGACTGCGGACATAATACAGGAGATGACCAGAGACTGCGGACACAGTGCAGGAGATGACTAGAGACTGCGGACATACTACAGAAGATGACCAGAGACTGCGGACAGTACAGGGGATGACCAGAGACTGCGGACAGTACAGGGGATGACCAGAGACTGCGGACAGTATAGGGGATGACCAGATACTGCAGACAGTATAGGGGATGAACAGAGACTGCAGGCAGTACAAGAGATGAACAGAGACTGCAGACAATACAAGAGATGACCAGAGACAGCGGACAGTACAGGAGATGACCAGAGACAGCGGACAGTACAGGAGATGACCAGAGACAGCGGACAGTACAGATGACCAGAGATTGCAGACAGTACAGGGGATGACCAGAGACTGCAGACAGTACAGGACATGACCAGACACTGCGGACTTTTAGGGAGGGAGGGGGAGCAGGTACCTGAATTTGACAGGTACCCGCTCCCACTTCCGCAGAGTTCTCCTTCCTATACTGTGGGCACCCGACTTTGACAGCCGGGTGCCCACTGCACATGCGCGAGAAGTGCTGCGCTTTGTGAATGGCCTGGCATCTATTGGGACCTGTCATGTGTCCCAGAAGACACCGGACCATTCACAAAGCGCAGCGCTTCTCGCGCATGCGCAGTGGGCACCCGGCTGTCACAGATGCCGGGGCGGGAAGACTACAGCGCTGGACCGAGGAACAGGTGAGTTCCTGCTGCAGAGAACAGCTGAGCGGCCAGCGTGGTATTCTGACATGGTGGCAGCGGAAATACTGGACCGGCTGCTTTATATTCGCTCCATAAGACCCACTGACATTTTCACCCCTTTTTTGGGGGGAAAAAAGTGCGTCTTATGGAGCGAAAAATACGGTACCTTGGCTTTTCGTCATTAAGATCTCCTTGTTCTGATTCCCAGTGATGTTCCCATGGGTGGTGCAGCATCTCATTTTGCATTCTCCATATTCTAAAATATAAATAATCAGGGAGAGTTGGAGCCATCATAATGGTCACAACAGGAGTGTAGACCCAGAAAGTCAAGAGTAGAGACCTTACTGACAATGTATCTGAGATATATAAGAAATTGCTCTCCAGCATCTTCTAAAAGCTAAAATATTGGTTCTGGGTAGACTGAATTTATGATACATTTTAAAGAGAAAAAAGAGCTGCTTTGATAGATCTAGTATTGTCTGTGGTGCTTGAGTAGATGTTTTCCTTTAATACATGTTTTAAAAGCGTATTTATTTAATGTTTAAACTCAGTATACTCATTTAGTAAATAAGTTGCCTTTAGAAGTGGCACTATATGTGTAATGTAAATGTATATATCCTGTACTTCTAGGACCACTGATGGCTCAGAATACATATTTTCAGCTCCTTCAGCCAGAAAGATGGATGTTTGGATACAAGCAATTCAGAGACGAACAGGTATGTACTGATCTGTGCCAGTCAGGGGGCTTAATTCACAAAGCAATATTGCATGAGGTATTTGGATCATGTGAATCATTTGATAAAAGTATCACATGCAATATTGAAAATCTCAATTCCTTATCAGTTTATGCAGTAATTATCTCAACAATAAGAAACACACAGTAAATGCTGCTTAAAGTGATCTAAATGTCAATTCATTAAAAAAAAAAAAAAATATATATATATATATATATATATATATATATATATATATATATTACATTTGTGAAATAAGTTATGGTCTAGCCATGAGCTATTTAATGAATGTATAAAATTAATAGTTAGTTGTTAAGGAGTCTACACTGCCAGCGTCCTAACAACCACTTATCCTTGCACTTTCAGCTGTGAGTTAGGGATTCCCGACTGAGAGGTGAACATTTACAAATGAGCCAGGACAATTTTAATGAGGGCCCAACTCCAAATAAAAAAATTGCGTGAGGTCCCCCAAAATCAATACCCGAAATCCATACCAGACCCTTATCCAAGCATGCAGCCTGGCAGGCCAGGAAAGGGTGGGGGTCGGGGGAAAGCATACATGGCCGTACCATACCTGGCCACATGCCCTCAACCTGGGGGGATACCATACTGGGGGGGGCAAAAAGGCGGGGTCATCCAAGTGAGATCATTAACATCTTATGATCTCATCGCTTCCCTGTTGCCAACTGAAATCTCTGATTCCCTCACTGCAAAAGTAAACAAAGGGGCAGGCACATCATGTTGATGAGGACAATGGTCTCTTCCCCACCACCCTGGCCTTGTGGTTGTGGTTGCCTTTGGATGAGGGACTTATAGGAATCAGAAACCCCCTTTAACAACAAGGGAGCCCCCAGATATTACCCCCCTCCCCCATTGTGAATGAGTAAGGGGTACATAGTACCCATACTCATTCATAGAAAAAAAGAATACCAACCCCAAAACTTTTGACAAGTCTTTAATTAAAAAATTGTAAAACATCTCCGTTAAACATCCATTGTCAATCACGCTGTCCAATGATGCGGGTACACCTCAATCACGATGAATGACAGCTGCCGACCCACCTGGACATAAAAACCCAACCCTCACCTTGACACGACTGATCCCATTGCTTTCCAGGCACCAACTGACATTTCTAGTTCACCGTTCTTGTTAAAGTAAAAGAAAGAGGTACGGTCACCTGTGTAATATCATTGACCAAATATGGACGTGGTGCATATCGTGACACCACCACTGCACCTCTTTTACATTAATTTAGAAAATGCAAAGTGTTCTCTGAATGGTGCCCGTGTGGAAAAAGCAACATCCTGTGTTCACTATGTATTAGGTCAGCTGCTCGGTTTGGCATGGAACCCAGAAGCTAGCAAAAATCACAGTAGTACCGGTGCCTACTACACTGATTTCCACTATTCACAAGAATCCCACAGGTATGGCACATATGGTACATACTTGCATTGCTCCAAACTGGACCAATGTAACAATAAATTATCCAAAGTTAAACTTCAGCTTTAATGCTGTCATCTGGATTCAGTGAACACTATGGCAATGCTTCCTCCATTCCACTTTTATTATGTGAGTTTGAGAATGTTTGGTGGAGTCATTCTGTCCCCTGAGGTTTGGTAAAATTTCATATTACATTGCTTAAATAGCATTCTTATAGTGTAAACTCAGTTATAGCTAAAATTCTTGCTAATTGCATTTTCGGTGGAATGGTTATTTATCTCCCCCTGCTGGCCATAAATTAGGCTGCACAATATTGTGTTCCCATATTGCTGTAGTAATGCTTTTTTTCGTATTTATAACGGCACCATTAAGTACTAGCAACTCAAAATGTAAATTATTTTATACTAAACTAAAATGTTCCTTTCTTTTAGATGAACCTGAAGCTAAAAGGGAAGTAAAAGCCTATACTCCAATTCATGAAATCCCAAGGTCAGTAATAATGAGTGGTGTTATAGAAATATTTATTGTAATAATGGCCAGTGTTGTGTAGATCTAAGCCACACTCTGAGCACCCTATGTGGAACTGATTAGATATTCCTACAACTTAAAGAGAACCTGTCAAGAAGCTGTGCACAATCTTTTAATTTTCCATTATTCAGTGTTGAATATCCCCTTTCAGCTTAGTTATCCCTTCCACTGTGACATGTATGCATACGTAAAAAAATCCATACACAGTTTGATTCTCTCTTGTTCAGCTCATAGGCTCAATTAGATAAAGTCAGTAAATACCCCCCCATCCATGCTAAACAGCATGAATAGAGGATTCTCCATTGCCAGCTATTGTATTCAGCAGCAGTGGCATCTGCAGCTGCCTGAATACAGTGACACTGCTGAACAGTGACTGCATCTGATAGGATACAATGTTTGACCAATAATTTTCCACTCGGCTCTTTCAATATTTACATTCATGACTTCTATTGCTAGCTCAAGTGTAATCATAGAAGAGTCAGAGCTCATGAATTGCATGCTTGTTATTGGTAAGTTACTTTATAGGTGAACTCCTGGCTGATATAAAAATACTAATTAATGCAGTTATGCATTCTTTAAAAAAATTACATGTCTTATTTTTAAATAAAGCTGGTGAAAATTCCCCAATTTAACCTCATATCAACATTTAAGGTCAGTCAGGTGTGCTGAATGCACCTCTGCTGACACAGACCACACTGACAGCAGGAGTAAGCAGAGGGATGAGTTCATCAGTCTGTTGCTGCTCCTTTATTGTCCAGTCCCAGGTGGTGGACAGGAAGGTAACAAGGCTGTATTGCTTACAGCATTAATACAAAATCAGATCACCATAATGGACCTGCTGTGTGGCAGGGCTGTTTAAACCCTAGAACTGCATGAACAGAAGGACAGAGCCATTGGATGGTAAAACATCTTCTATGTCTGTATTGCTATAGTGTATTTAGCTGTTTGCCTGGAGTTCATCTGAACATATTGAAACCATTTGCTTAGGGTGACAGTCAGACATCATTTAAGAAGGAAAAGTTGGATGGCAGAGGTTGGCTTTGTGAACTTATATTATTGTGGTGTATGTAGTTATGGAATTGCTTTAAACTGACGACATAAGCATTTCAAGATAAGGATAGACTATGCTGATGATTTCATTATCCTTCCTTATAATATTACATTTGTCATAAATGAGTTGTATTGATTCTTAAGATTAAAAGGTCATTCAATGGAAAATAGTTTTTGTTTTTAGCAACCAATCACATTCTTTCTTTTATGTTTCACATGGAATATGAGAGAATAAAAAGGAGAATCAGATTGTCACTTAAACACCTCCTTCCTTCAGACAGTATAGATTATGAGGCTCTTACTATAACTCCTCATGTTTCAATGGAAAATCCCTGTTTGTACCATAGCGTCTCATTAAGGACTGGTCTGATCAGTAAATAAAGATTTAGACTGAAATACAGCAATTCTCATAAGGAATGTTGTTACTTCTATACGCATTGTAATGAATCTACGCTGTGATAACATGTTGCTGCTGGCAAAGTTTGATATACCCAAACCTAAAAACTTACAATATCATGAAATGGTGCAGCTCCAGTGAATATAAAGAAAAACATACAAAATAAATAAAAAAAGAATCAATAAATTAATGAATAGCGCTCATTGTGCCACTGGATGGTGGAAGATCTTTTTTTATATGAGTATATATGGACTAAAAGTTAAGAGACTTCACACTTGGCACATTGAACACTGTTCATTCATTTTTATTTAGTATGTTTTTGATATATTTACTGGCGCTGCATCATTTCACAACATTGAAAGTGTCTACTTCTGCCTTTCCCTTAGAAAAAACTCCTTAATTAATTTTCATGTCTCGTTAAAACCAATGCATTGATGGCAAGTGAGAGGAATGGCCCTTGAAGTAGTGGCCAGAATGCCACTCTAACATAAAGCTACAAAGATTTTTGGTGTCATGCAATTGACTTTAACCATTTTCCATCCGATCCATGTACATAAATGGGAGCAGTGCCGAAGCAGGTGGCCATTTATAAACAGCCCCCGCATTCACTGCCTGTGCATGGTCCCTGGGAGCTTGCAGCACTGCGATCTGGTGCCCGCTGTGTCCAGAGAGACACAGCGGAACACTGATCGCTGTACGGGATCTCTGTGTGAGGTCCCGATCATGTGATCACTGATTGGCCAATCAG